CTTTTTGTCATCGCAGCTAATTAAAAATATAATAATGCTTAGATGGCTTATCCCTGAAGGCATGCTGATCTCCTAGCAGGAGAAGAAAATCCATATAGATACGCTGGACAAAGCACAAGAATTTCTTGAACACTATATGGTACCAGATGAAGAACAGGATAGTAGAGAAGAGGTAAAGAGCAGAAGTCAGGAGGAACAATCAATGGAAGAAAAAAGATCGGACCAAGAAGTAAGAGAACGACAGGAAATCGAACATCAAGAAGTAGAGAGGATAAAGACATGGTCACAAAGAGAGATAAGAATAAGGAGAGGAGAGAGAATTCAGTATAAACAATAACAAGGCAGAAGAAGTCACACTTCTATCTCTTAATATAAATGGACTAAATGCTCAGATAAAAAGAAAACAAGTATTGACTAAACTCCGGAAACAGAATGCTGATATTACCTGTCTGCAAGAAGTCCACATTGAGAAGAAGTATGGCAACATCTTAGAATCACCTAAATTGGTAAAATTGCACCTTGCATTGACACAGAAAAAGGAAAGAGGGATACCAATGTGTTGTGACTGGAAGGTTTGAGCCTGCTGTGAGCTTTGAGTCTGATGTATCAGAAGACACAGGTTTGAGTGATGAAGAAGGTTTGGCATTGGAATTGGAGCCTGCTTTAATGAGAGATGCAGACGTGAGCCAGGAGGATGAGGGAGTGTCGGAATCACCATCCTCTCCAGAACCTTCCACATCAATCATGCCTCAGGTGTCAGCAGCTGATCCACAGAACATACCAGAGTCCTTGAGTGATGATCAAACGGATGAATGTTGGGTTGATGCAAGGACTAGACGCAGGTTGAGACGTCAAGCACAATTTGAAAGGAAACGTCAAGTCAGAGACTAATTAGAGGGACTGACACTCCCCTTCAAGGAATATAAGGAGGTGTGTTAGCTAACGATCCTTGTCCGGATCAAACTTCATTAGTTACATGCGCAGCTTGGAAGAAGCCTTCTGTTTGCATTTTTGGCTCTGAATTATCTTGCGGCTCGTTATGTTGGTTTGAAGAGTTTCTGGGAAAGCTGCCAATGATGACTACAGAGAAAGGTTAACTCTGTGGTTTCTGATATTATCTGTTCGTGCTTATTTCTTTGGGACATTTGGACTCTCACTTTGTGGCTACAGGTGAGACAGAACACCAATGTATATAAAGTAATGGTTAAACCTGATTCAAATAGTTGCTGATGAGGAAGGAAGAGCCCTAATGGTAGAATTACAAATAAATCAAAAGAAAGTATTACTAATAGTAATATATGCCCCGAACATTAACCAAAAAGAATACCATAGTAGAATTAGAACAGGAAAACATATGTATTATAGGGGATTTCAATGCAGTACTAGATATAGAAAAAGATTACGCAACAAAGAAAAAAAACAGGAAAAAGAGGAAAACACTGCCAAATACATTTCATAAATTGATACAAGAATTAAATCTTAAAGATATGTGGAGAGAACTTAACAGACAAGAAGGACAATGTACCTTTTTTTCAAACCCACATAGTTCCTGGTCTAAGATTGACATGGTGTAGATGGATACAAAAGTAGCAAAAGATATAGAGAAAACAGAGATACTACCAAAAATATGGGCAGATCACAACCCATTGATAGTGAAATGGAAAGGGAGAAGAAAGAGAAGAAGATGGACGTTAAATCAGAAACTCCTTAGGGACAAAAACTACACACAAATATTAGAAAAAGAATTAAAACTATTCCTTAAGGACAATGCAAATGACCAAACAACATTGCAAAATCTATAGGACACAACCAAAGCATACATCCGAGGTCTAACAATTGCATATGGAGCAAAAAAGAACACAGACAATGTTAGGAATGATAGTCACCTAGCAGTTGGGTTGGCAATATATAAACCAGGATAGTCATTTATTACTGTTGTATCTGTAAGAGAATGCTGTAATTGTGATTGGCTGAGGTTCCTCTGACGGCCATAAGATGGAGCCAGAAACCTGGTTTGCTCTCTTCTTGCATTTCCTTGTTGCCTTTTGCCTGATCGTTGTTCTGCTTGAATTGCTGTGAGTCTTGCAAATATTCACAAACTCCATTTACTGAACTTTGTTTGTGACACTGGACTTCGTTTTTGGATTATCCCTGGACTGATTGTATTGAATACTACCTGCTTTAACTGTGTATGATTTGGACCGTTTGTTGGACTTTGTTTACCCATTTACTGGAAGTAAAACCTACATTTTACTATTCAGTGTATCTGTATGCTGGTTGTGTGTTATTCAACACCACTCTCACTACGTTTCCCTGAGTGCACTCATTCTCCTAATGGGGAATACCTCAACAGATAAGAAAAAACAGACAGAATTACAAGAGAAACTTCAGGAATTGGAACACAGATTGCAAAAAGAACCAGAGAATGAAAAAATTAAAAAAGAGAGGGAGGTGACTAAACATAAAATAAATTTAACTTTACAGGATGAAATGTCACGAAACCTTAAAAAAATTATTTGGCAAGGGAAAAAGGGCCAGATAAAACTAAAGCTCCTGCAGGATAGTAAAGACAAGGGAGGGTTCAGACTTCCAGATTGAGAACTCTATTATCAGGCCGCAATAACAACATGGATTAGAGATTAGGTAAATCTAAAGAATAAAAAAGTTTTAATATTAGAAGGACATGACCTGCAGATTGGCTGGCACACGTTCATGTGGGAAAGGAAAAATAAATTTCATTCGTATTTTCAAAGACATCAAATTAGAGATACATTACTAGGGGTTTGGGAAAAATTAAAATGAAATCATTATACAAAGATCCCAATCTGGATGTCAACCATGGAAGCTATGGTATACCCGAATGTTTTAGATCTGAATAAGACAGTGAGCTATAAAGAGCTATTAGATTAACAAGGGAAATTAAAATCTAAGCAGGAGCTTGTGTCACAAGGAATACAAGTAGATTGGTGGCCATACTTACAGATACAAACTAGATATAAGAAAGATGGAACAGTTCGGGATATATTTAGACCAACAAGAATCGGATAAAATTTTACAGGGGCCAGAGAGAAAAATGATTACCAAAATGTACAAGTATTTGTTAAGATATAAATTGGAAGAAGAAACTGTGAAGGAAACAATGATAACCTGGACCAAAAACTTTGGATATAGTATCAATTTGGAAGATTGGGAAAACCTATGGAAAATAAATTATAAATTAACTATCAGCAACTTATAAGGAGAACTTATATAAAATGTTTTATCGCTGGCACTTACCGCCAGCGAGACGTGCAAAAATGTTTCCTAATAATTTGCCAAGCTGTTGGAAATGTGGCTACGAGCAGGGAACCTACTACCATATGTGGCGGACCTGCCCAAAAGCATAAAAATAATGGCAGAAAATTAGAAATTGGCTAGAAGAAATTACAAAAGTTAAAATTGAATTGAAACCAGAGATATTTTTATTAGGAATCTTAAAACAAAAAATTAGTAAAATTATTATTAGATTACATTAGATTAGATTAGATTCAACTTTATTGTCATTGCACATGAACACAAGCAACGAAATGCAGTTAGCATCTAACCAGAAGTGCAAAACAGCAATGAAGTATAAATATATATATACAGATACACAAAATATATAACTATGTTATGTCTCACCTATATTCATAGATGAGAAGACAAGGTTTCAGAATTCAAAATATTCAAGCAGAAACAAAACCGGATTCAAAAGGGTTAAATTAGCACAGTTTTCCAGTCCTTGGCAGACTTCCCGGAACCTGTCAGGCTAATCAGAATTGTCCATAACTCACAAGGCCACTTCAAATGTATTCTTCCGACTCATCAAACACTTTGCTTCCAAGCAAAGCTTGAGAGTCAGCACGCCTCTTTAAATAACCTGGATAGGCGTGTCAGTCTCTCCAATCAATGTTTGGCCTGACGCCTCCCTTCAGATTGACGTTTCCTGGTTCTCCTAGTTCTGGCGTCAACCCACGATCTGTCAGTTTCCTCACTGGAAACTTCTGTCTCATTTTGTTGATCATATGCTGGCATGAACGAAGTCGAAGGTTCTGGGGAGGATTGTCTCTGTGACAATCTCTCATCCTCCTGGCTCACGTCTGTGTCCTCTGATAATTCAGACTCCACATTCACAGCAGGCTCCAACCTTCCATCGTCAGAGTCATCAGAGTCAAAACTCCCAGCAGGATCGATCCTTCCAGTCACAACATAACTATACGGATATACAGAATATCTATGAATATGCAGAATATATATCTATGGAAGGAATATATACGGCTGAACAGTGTTTATGAACATATTGAACATAAGTATAATGCACAGAGAGTTTATACAAGATATATTATATATTATCAGGGGAAGTATCAGTGTGTGTGTGGGGTAGACAAGTTGAGTTCAGTAAGGAGACCGCCGTGTGGTAGAAGCTGTTCCTTAGCCTGCTGGTCTTGGACTGCAGGCACCTGAACCTCTTCCCAGATGGAAGAAGGGTAAACAGTTTATGGGCTGGATGGGAGGAGTCCTTAACGATGCTGTGGGCTTTTCGCAGACATTGTTTCCTCTGAATGTCCACAGTGGCAGGAAGTGGGATCCCTATAATGTGTTGGGTGATTTTCACCACCCCCTGTAATGCCTTTTTTTCTTTAATGGTGCAATTTCCATACCAGACTGAGATACAGATGGTTAGGATGCTCTCAACTGCACAGCAGTAGAATCTGATCAGAATAGTTGGGGAAAGGTGGTTCTTCCTCAATAATCTCAGAAAGAAGAGGTGCTGGTGAGCTTTCTTGATCAGGCTGGTGGTGTTGATCTGCCAGGACAGGTCCTCAGAGAGGTGGATCCCCAGGAACTAGAACCTGGTGACACGTTCTACCATTCTCCCATTGATGCATATAGGAGAATGTGTGTAAGCATTCTTCTTCCTGAAATCCACAATGAGCTCTTTGGTCTTGTTAGTGTTGAGTAATAAGTTATTGTCAGCACACCATGTAGCTAGGCTCTGCGTCTCCTCCCTGTACTCTGAGTCATCGTTATCGTTGATGAGTCCAATCATCGTGGTGTCATCTGCAAACTTGGTAATGGTGTTAGAGCCATGCACAGGCCTGAAGTCATAGGTGAAAAGAGAGAAGAGGAAGGGACTCAGCATACAGCCTTGGGGAACGCCAGTACTTAGTGTGATGGTGGATGTGGTGGAGTTATTCAACTTGACATGTTGTGATCTGTTTGTCAAGAAGTCCAGTATCCAATTGCAGACAGTAGTATTGATGCCAAGGTCACCAAGTTTAGTGATCAGCCTGGAGGGAATGACTGTATTGAATGCTGAACTGAAGTCAACAAACAGCATTCTTGCATAGGTGTTCTTATTGTTCAGGTGTGTTAAAATGGTGTGTAATGCTATGGAAACAGCATCCTTGGTGCTCCTATTCTTGCTATAGGCAAATTGATAGGGGTCCAGTGTGATTGGGAGACAAGTTTTGAGGTGTGCCAGGACTCAAAGCACTTCATGATTGTAGGTATAAGTGCTTTAGGGTGGTAGTCGTTTAAACACTCTGGCTTGGAGTGTTTAGGCACCGGCATGATGGAGGTGGTCTTGAAGCAAGTTGGTACAGTTGCTTGGGAAAGAGACAGATTAAAGATGTCAGTCAAAACCACAGACAGCTGTCCAGCACAGGCCCTAAGTACACGTCCTGGAATGCCATTGGGGCCCGCAGCTTTGTGCGCGTTAATCCGGCTCAGAACAGTGCAGACTTCAGTGATTGAAAGTGTGAGGGGCTGTAAGTTTACAGAGGGTCTGATCTTGGTGGCTGTTTCCTGGTTGTCTCATACAAAACGAGCATAAAAGTCATTTAGCTCATTGAGAAACGAGACATTAGCAAATGAAGGAGTAAACTGGGCAGGCTTGTAGTCAGTGATGTTCTGGATGCCCTGCCACATACGCTAGGGATTGGAGTTAGTGAAGTGATCCTCAATACTTAGCTTGTAGCTACGCATCACTTTCTTGATGCCCCTTCTCAAATCAGTCCTGGATACACTATAGGCCTGTCTGTCACCAGATCTGAAGGCAGCATCTCGGGCCCTGAGCAGGAGACAGACCTCCCTATTCATCCATGACTTTTGATTGGGGTATATGATAATCTGTTTTTCAGTTGTGACGCTGTTAATCGTGGAGTTAATATGATCCAAGACAGAAGAGGTGTATTTATCAATGTCTATGTGAGAATCAGAAGTAGCTTGGGAAGCAAAGATACTCCTGTCTGTATGCTGAAATCGGTCCTGCAGTATATTGTCCGATTCTTCCGGCCAGACTTTAATTGTGGTCACAGAGGGTTTCACACATTTAATGAGTGATGTGTATTTAGGGAGTAAAAACAATGGGAGGTGATCAGACTGTCCCAGGTGGGGGAGGCAGAAGACTCTGTATATTATGCTCCATATATTAACAGCAGCAAGGCTTGCCTTTGCCCAAAATTGGAAATGCGAAAATACTTCATGATTATAATTATTATAAAGAAAACTTTGGAATGTGCAGAAATGGACAGGTTGTCAATGGAACTTAAAAACAAAGAGGAGTCAGAGTACTAGGAGATCTGGAATTTTTGGTACAGTTGGTTGGTAGACATGAAAGGAACAAAATGAAGTCAAATAAAAAGGACTGACGGAAATTGGCAACATTCCATGCAACTATGTTTGTAATATATAATCAGATGAAACTTTGTGTTATATATTAATGTAATAAGTGTGAATGATTATTCTACATATTTTGAGAGATGTCAGATTGAGTGAACACTGTCTTGCTTACGTTGCAATAAGCAGAATGTTTGGTTTTATTGTATTTGCATAAATTTGTTTAACAAAGTATTTTTATAAATTAAAAAAGGAAGCTTATATTACTCTTATACTAAAAGACGATACTGACCTACAAGTGAAGAATTACAGGCCAATATCATTGTTGAACTCGGATTATAAGATATTTGCGTCAATAATGGCTGAAAGATTGAAGAGATATCTAAATTACTTCATACATGCAGATCAAAATGGTTTTCTACCCAAGAGACAAATAAGAGACAACATGAGAATAATTTTAAATACGTTGGAATATTGTGAAGCACACCCTGAGAAGCAGATGGCATTGATATTTTTGGACGCGCAGAAGGCATTTGACAACGTGAACTGCCAATTCATGTTGACACAAAGAAAGGAAATGGAATTTGGGGACAGATTTATAAATATGATTAAGACTATATATTATAAACAATATGCGAAGGCATTGGTTTAATGGAGAGTTGACTGAGAAAATTCATATTGAGAAAGGAACAAGACATGGATGTCACAATTATGACAAATCGCTGCTTAAACTATCTTGCTTTGCATGTAATGAGTCTATCTCATATATTAGTTTCACTTTTTAAGTTGCATTATTGAAATAAATGAATTTTTGCATGATATTCTAATTTTTCAAGTTTCACCTGTATTTGCAGATACAAACTAGGTATGAAAAAGACATTAAAGATGAAGGGATTAATAAAGAGCTGACAGAATTGGATAAAATATTAACAGGAACAGAGGATAAATTGATTAAAAGATTATATTGTTATTAGGTGTCAAGCTAGAAGAGGAACAAGTCAAAGAAACGATGATAGCATGGGCAAAATTTTTTGGATATGCTGTAGAACTGGATAAATGGCAGAAATTATGGGATAGGAATTATAAATTGACAATATCGACAGCATATAAAGAGAATTTGTATAAGATGTTTTACAGATGACACTTAGCACCAGCAAAATTAGTGAAAATGTTTAAGATAAATCAATTAAATATTGGAAATGTCATCAAATACCAGGAATACCATATGTGGTGGACTTGTACAGAAGCTAAAAGGTATTGGACTAAGATACACACATGGTTGGTAAAATGATTAAACAACATATAGATTTGAAGCCTGAAATATTCCTACTAGGAATGGTACCAGAAGGTTATAGTAAAGAAAAGACTTACTTAATTATACATGTTTTAACAGCGGCTAGATTTGTATTTGCCCAAAACTGGAAGAATGATAAGATACTGATAGAGTGAAAAATAATTGAAAAAATATTTGAATGTGCAGAAATGAATAGACAATAGAAATTAAAGAAAAAGAAGAATCTGAATACTATATGGTATGGGTTTTGTTTTATCAATGGATAGAAAATAGAACCATTTAAAAGGGATTAGATGTATTTATAAAGTGATAAGAGAAACTAATGTAATAGATATATTGGATCTCATTTATACTATATACATGGGAATGTGATTATTGTTGTATTAAGTTTTATAAGAATATTATTAATAATGGTTAAGTAATGGAAATGTGTACCTAATCGACACACAATTGAAATGGAATGGATTTATTGTATATAAAAATACAAAAAAATACAAAAAAAGGAAAGAGAACGATGGAAAGGGCAACTTCCTCCCCCTAGAAAGGGCTGCTTGCCTGAGTATTGAAGTCTACTCTTGCCTGCTCAGTCCTGCTGTTGCTCTTGACAAGGAAAAGGTTGTCTCTGCGACCTTTGAAGCCCCCGGCTGGATTCTGGACAGAAGGAGGAACTCCAGAAGTATGGAGCCGATCAGAAGTCCGATCATCTGGAAAGGGAAGGAAGGAACTTCCTCTTGTTCTTGGCTTCCACTAAGAGAAAATCAAAGGATTCCCCAAATAGCTTATCTCCTCGGACCGGGGCAGACGCAAGTTTCCACTTGTGCCTGCGATCTGTTTGCCAATTTTTAAGCCATAACATTCTCCGTGTTGCCACCGATGATGCTATGGCTTTTGATGCAAATCTGGCACCATTGAGGGTGGCATCCGCAGTGAACTTTATTTATTGATATCCTGATGTCCATGTAAATCAATGACTGGGAGCCGATCTTGAAGCTCACGGAGCCAACGTAGAGAAGCCCTGGTAAAAAATGAGGCTGCAGTTGAGGCCTTAACCGCCCATGCAGCTGCCTGGTGGGCTCTTTGAAGAGATTGCTCAATCCTCTTATCCTTTGCCTTCAGGACTTCTTCCAAATCCAACAGAGCTGAGGACGATGAGGACAAAGCAGCCACAGGGCAATTCACCACCGGCACTGGCCATCCACCACTGGCACCACTGGCGCCGGTGAGCTTAGGACCCATATTATAAAACTGGCGGTCATTTGAAGACAAAGTGGGTGCTAACCCTGGTGAATCTACCTGCCTATGTACCACATTAAGGAACAGTCTAGGTGATGGTAGTACCTCTGTACACAAGGTTGGCTCAGAGAAAAGTTGGTCTGGAGGAGCCTGAATTTCTCCCACTGGCTCTCCAACATCCGCCTCGTGCCCCAATTGAGCCGTGTTCTTTGCTTTGAACAACGAAGACTTAATTAAAGTGGGGCGGAACACACCAGTTAAGGCTGGCTGGTCAGGCACTAACTCTTCATCATCAGAGATATCTGATTCTCTCTGTTACTCATCTACTGCCATGGAAGACTGGTTATGCACTGAAGGATCAGGTGAGCCAGGGTCTTGTAAGACAGGTCTGACCTTAGGCAGAATAGCTGGGTCAGGTTCTGGCTAGACAAGTGGGGCCCGACCATATGATGGCAAGGGGGTAGCTGCAGACTGAGGATAGCAAAAGGACCACAATCCCTTCCTCACCATAAAATAGAAGCACCGCCTGTTAAGGTATTCCCTGTTAGGAGAATGAGTGCACTCAGGGAAACATAGTGAGAGTGGTGATGAATAACACACAACCAGCACACAGATACACTGAATAGTAAAATGTAAGTTTTACTTCCTATAAACGGGTAAACAAAGTCCAACAAACAGTCCATATCATACGTGGTTAAAGCAGTTAGTATTCAAAAATAATCAGTCAAGGGATAATCCAAAAACGAAGTCCTTTTCTTTACCAGTATCATAAACAAAGTTCAGTAAACAGAGTTTGCGAATAGTTGCAAGACTCACAGCAATTCAAGCAGAATGACGATCAGGCAAAAGGGAAAAGGAAATGCAACAAAGTACAAACCAGGTTTCTGGCTCCATCTTATGGC